CATTCTATTCCGGGGTCGCGAAAATTTGGAATGATTCTAGAATCATTTCAACTCCGGAGTGGCAAATCCGCAACACTGATCGACTTTTCTTTGCGGGGGCTGTAAAAAAGGGTGGGTAAGGGGAAGAGGGAGGGGGCGCTTTTAGTTCCGCTTTTGTAGAGGAGGGAACCTCGACGAAGTTTTTGCTTTTGTTATCTTAAAGACACCCCGAAGGTAGCATTCTTTTTTATTGTCTAAAACGATGCAAATTGTAGTCATAAGCCTAGTTCACATGCAGCGGTTTTGGCCCAAGAGCGGCGCGATTTCTGCCGTCGCGGCGCTCTGGCCAGCACCAGCACCAGCAGTGGCACGAGCGCCGCGACGGCAGAAATCGCGCCGCTTTAGGGCGAAAATCGCTGCATGTGAAACACGCTATAGACACGCAAAAGAACACCGCATCGCGAAAAAAAATTTCCCCGCGCACGCGCGCGCTCCTTTTTATTTTGGGCGTTTATATTTCCCGCGCTCACCTCCTTGCTTCCTTTAATCGGTGACGTCAAAAATCAGGAAATTTAGAAGCTATGTAGGCGACATTTCTATAACATTTAATAACGGCAATCGTAAAACATGTTTTTTAATGCAATGACGAACGCACTACGGCCTTTCTTTTTGAAATACCAAAAATCAGATTTCGGTGTGATGTCGCTTCCTGGATTTGTGTTCTCCCTCGGAAAACTTGACGGCGCTCGAGCAGAGGCTTATCACCGAGTCGGGGAAGAAACCGGTTTTTCCCCGCGCCGGCTCCCTTCTATCCCGCCTGCTTACCTCCTCCCCTCTTCGGGTCGCGGTAGCAGCGGCGCTTTGCTTCACAGCGTGGTGCGGAGGTCCGAAAGAAAGTCGAGTCGCAGGAGACCGCAAAATTTGACTCACTGCACTGGCGCGGATCGCGCGGGAACTTCAAATTCGGCATTTGGAAATTGTTTTTTTTAATTCACAAATGCTGAATTCCCAAGTTTCGAATTTTGAGGGTAATGTCCCGGCATCATTTTCAATGGTTTCGGATAATAAAATAAATTACGATTTTGATGTGTCAGTGCCCCTTTAAAGCGCGCGCAAACAATCTATATAAAAAAAGAGAGAACTGCCTTTGGTTTACCGTAATATCAGGACGTTCAATTTTGTTCAGCATCTCCCGTTTTGAGCTGTCTCTACCTATCGAGGAAGGCACCTACTAAAACTGTCTAATGCTAGAACGACAAAACCACACACGCATGCACATTTATATATTGAACATATGATAAATTCTTAAAACAGTCGGTAGTTTAGCGCGCGACCACACACGCTCGGAGTATGTAATAACGTAATCTCGCAAGGGTACGCCGGCGGCACTACCGATTTTAGCCGTCCCAGTGTTACCTCATTTGGCCACGGTGACGCTCTCTGGATGGCGATTGCCCCGACTTCGTTGCTGCGCGTCGTGGCGTACTCCGAGTTTAGTTTCGCTTCGCGACTTGCGACCTTTTTTACCTTTTCGGCGAAGATCCAAAGATCAAGCAAGGAGCAGGCTGACATACATGCAGTTATTATGATCCCATTAAAAGAACCAGGAAGCAGACTCAAGATAAATAATCGTTCCTCTAGAGAGCTGTTTTGAGTGACTGAAGTGACGTGTGCTCATTTTACCTTGGTCATCAGGAAACATACCTGCAATGGCTGTAACTTTTATCTTTGTGAATTTTTCTTATCATTCCTAAAAAGAAACTGCTTTCAGAAGATCTCACAACCTAATTAGACGTTTTACCCGTAATAGTCTTAAATCATATTAAACACTTTTCAGAATCGAAAAAAGAAAGATGCACGAAGTTTATAAATAACTTTCTTTCGCAGTTCCACACGCAAGACTGTGAACACTGTAAGAACCCTAGAAACGCAGTGGGCATGCATGCAAACAAATGTGGCCATGAAGGAGAAAAATATTGAAGGTTAAAAAGCCTGGCAATTCGATCGAATAAATGGCCCGACCGTTACCACTTTATTAAAAGGGAAGAAAATGTTAAAAGCTTGCAATTACGAAGCCCGGTTCTTCGGCAGGAACTTCGGGGTTGCCTTGTAGCTGACTCTTCTTCGCCCACCTGACAGAAGCTCTTTATTAGCTGTACGGTCTACACATCATGAAAAGATATATCCTCTGGAAGCTACCATCTAGAAAGCTTGTGCGTAGCGTATGGCGCGTGTTTTCCTCGCTTTCTCTGGCGACGCACATGCGCCTGCCCGGCTGTGGAGCAGCACACGCTGGGCTGTTGCTTGGAACGCCTTCATGTGCGCTTTGCTTAGGGTGATGACATCGGACCATTTGGTTCCTGATGTTTTTGCAGGCACGCAGCCCGGGGGGGGGGGGGGGGGGGGGGGCGGGCCCAATGGCCCCTTCACCCCCCCCCCCTCCCCCCCCCCCGAAATCTTCCTTTTTCCAGGGACCTCCTCTCTTCCCTTCCCTGACCTAATTTTGGTGATCAGCTTGTTTCCAGTCCTCTCGTCGCCATGTTGAAGACGATTATGGTGTCCGAGGAATGTTTTTTTTCGTGCAAGCTGCCTGTACTTTGACCGGTGTCGTACGCAGTTGCTCGTCGCCAGCTGATGCTCGTTTTTGTCGATTGAATATGTTCTTCACTTTTACATAGAACAGAAATAGACGCCACATGGATAACCTTTTCTCGTATGGTAAGTACATTTTTTTTTAATTATTTCTTGAGAAGACTGTTAGAACCGCATATACACGGGTCGAAATAGAGCAAACATGTCGCGCGGGCAGCTACGCGATCATGCTAAAGGCGTAAACGGCAGTCCGTTCTGCAATCGGCGAAGCGGAGAAAGCGCTGACTCCGGTTTTCGGTAACTACTCCCAAACATTCACAAAACGTCGTTCGATCAAGATGTATTCGCAGAACAGGCTCCCTGCTCTGCGAAGTGCGCAGCAGCGCACTTCGCAGTGAGAGTGTTAAAGGGGCACTGCAAGGACTTTTTTAGTGGTTTTTAATTTGCACCGAACCTTAGCGCACTGAACGTAGTAACTTAATAAAACTTTTCTTTTCTCGAATTTCGCTTTATTTTAAAAGTTATACGCAAATTAAAATGACAAAAACAAGCAAAAAAAAAAAATAACCTCCTTTATGACGTCCTTGGTTGCGTGAGTGGCCATGAACTAGAGGAGGGGTAGCGAGCTTGGCGATTGCTCAAAGGCTTCCGCACTCTGTGTCGACGGCTCGAGAGAGCGCCACTGAAGCATGTTCTGGATAGGCTGTATGAAGCGAGAAGCCAGGGCGGCTCGCATTGCATTTGCTGCGGGATTAAACACTAATTCGGCATGACACTTTGTTGGCCACAAACGACAGCAAACACGGGGTAAAGGTCAGTTCTGAACGGGAGCCACTTCGCGCTGCCATACCTCCAAAGGGCCAAACCGCAAGCCAAAGCTGGTCGCCGAAGGCCTTCGGAACTCGGAACGCTCGGAACCGGTCGCATCTTTGACTGCACCGCCGCCGCGCACATCCGGGACCTTTCTACGCTCGCCGTTCGTCGGTGCCTGATCCCACTACACCTTCCTAGTATGCGCCGCTTTTCCACCGCTTGGTGGCGGATATGTGAACGGGTCATTTCTTGTTTCCATACATTATAAACTGCATTTGTTTTTTGTTTTTCTTATCTAAAATACTGAACATGAACAGAAACTACTTTTATAAATAATTGAAACGGCTCTCGCCAGTTATATTTTGTATTTTGACTAAAAAGCTTTTAGCGGCTCCGACCACTAGAGAGGCCAGGACTTAAAACGTCACGATGTCGTCACATATTGCGCGCTTTCGGCACCGCAGGTCGCCCCGTAGGTGGAGGAGGTTTCCGCGTCGTCCTGTTAAAATATGACGCACTGATATTTAGTTACTTTCACCGCGCCCGCTGGCTTGCCGCAACCCCAAGCGACGTGGAAACCGCAAAAAAGGTAGACGCGTAAATATGATTGCAGGGCCCCCTTAAAAAACTGATCTCACTCGTCATCGCATAAACTCTAAAGACACCGCCGTTCTCCAAGATTCAAAAATCACTCTCTCTCAGGGGCGTAGACTTTCCATTTTTCCGGGGGGGGGGGGGGGGGGGGGGCAGGCTGAAAAGTTCTCCGGGAAGGGGGGGGGGGGGGGGAGGGGATGCTTTTCCGCGCAATTTTTTTTTCACCGGCAACTTTCAGTAGTTTATTTTTAGGGGTGCAATTTAGAGCGTATGTATATCGCCATATGTCCGTCACTGTGTGCGTTATTTTGTTTACTTGCCACTACTAGAAGCTCGTTATATGGCACGTAAACAGCGTCTCGGTAAGGACCATAACCCGGGGGAAAAGGGGGGGGTTGTGCCCCCCCTCCCCCAGGATGTCAACAGGAAAGGGGGGGGGGGGCACGAGCCCCGATGCCCCCCGTTGTCTACGCCTATGCTCTCTCCCCTCTTCGTTGACAATGTTAATACAGTTGCACTTGTCAATCTTATCTCACTCCCCATACACAATAGTGAACAAAAAGATATGATATTTTGTTTCTTTTACAGAAGTATTGCTCGACGTCTAAGGAATAGCCAATTATATTTTGTTTTGATATGGTACACCATAATGCAGCCTTTTTAGCCACCAGGGGTCGGGTTTCAACCCCTGGTGGCTAAAAAACGGCTGAACAACCGACCCCTTGTGTCAACATTGACAATTTCCTGAATTCCGAATGCACCGTCGGTGCCAACCGGTGATCGATGCAAAGGGTTTCCCTACAAAGTACTGATCAGCTTAGGTTTATACCGAGACATAAGGTTTTACGCGGTGTCCCATTTTGTCACAACAGTCAGATTATTGACGACGTCCTCTTGTACTGCTGTTACCATGGTTTTCAACGAATATCGATTACAAAAAATTAGGGCTGGGCGTCGATTAAAAATTTTAACCCGATTTATCGCAACCCTTTAATCGATTAATTAATCGATTAATCGGTTGACTTTAGTAAAAAGCAAAAGTAGACATTTTGTCCTTACAATTTGTTTTATTGTATGATAAACGGCGCATATATACAAACTTAATTGAGAATAAACGTTGATGTAACGCACTCACAGATCACAACCCCAGCTGCGGAGGCAAAGAAGTTTGTTGACATTTTCCGGCAGGAGCGAGTTTTTTTGTTTGTTGACGATCATCCCTGCTGCGCTGAACGGACGCTCGCAGGGCGTTGAGGTGACTGGGACACACATCACACTCTTCACAATTGGCACAATTTGAGGAAACAGGGAGCCCTGAGCTCGCCACCACTGTAGTGGGTCCAGTTCATCGTCCGTCACCTCGGCCATCGATCGATAAAGCGACACTTGGCAGGAGATGGTGGGTTCTTCATTTTCCTCCGAGAAAACGTATTTTCTTTTTTTCTTGGGCGTTAGATCAGTAGAATCGTCCGAAGACGCATGTGTTAGCTGGGAAAGCCTTTCCCACACAAGTTTGCGGCGATCTTTTTCGATGCGTGCGAGGCTCTTGAAACGAGGATCGAGACACGTTGCCAGTTCATAGTCGTTGTATTGCGGCCACGCGCGAAGCCTCTCATCGATAGAGTCCACCAGCATGGCCTTGAAGCGGCAGATGAAGGCAGGGTCACAGTCATTCGTCTTCATTTTATTCTTTAGCAGTTTTAAGGCTGGAATAAGTACAGACCGAGTAACGTACTTGTCCCCTCCAAGGAGCTCAGTAATGTCGAGCAAGGGCTTCAAAACTTCCCGAAGCTGCTCCAACATATCCCAATCGACGTCTGTGAGGTGGGGAATCGACGATTTAATGGTACTGCTGTCCTCCATGGAGCGGCGCAAAGGCTCCTTCAGTTCAAGCAGGCTGGTTATCATGATGTACGTGCTGTTCCACCGTGTTGCGATGTCCTGCTGAAGCTTCTTCTTAGGTGCTCCGAGTTCAGCGGCATGTTTTGAAAGGACGGCCTAGTTGTTCGAACTGTGCTTAAAGTGACCCACAGTACGACGACAGGCGGCTAGCGGTCGCTCCACACCCGTCACGCTGAGCGCCTTGTGGACGCACAGCTGAAGCGTGTGAGCTGCGCACTTCAGACTCTGAAAGTTTGCTCTCTCCACCCCAAGACAGATGTTGCGGGCGTTATCGGTACAGACAGCTTTTACGTTTTCAACGATTCCCCAATCTGTAGCAGTCTCCAATACCTCACTGGCACATTGTTCCGCTGTATGGCGCTCAGGTACGTTTCTCACCTGCAATGTTGCCGATCGAAGCATCCAGTCGTCGTCGATCCAATGCGCCTTTATCCCGAGGTAGGCGTCATTGGCGATGGAGGTCCAGAAGTCCGCTGTTAAGCTGATGAAGCTGGCTGCCGAGAGTTCTGCTTGAAGACGCTCCCGTCTCGAGGTATACAGGGCATACACCTTGGCACTCACTGCACGACGGGACGGCGGCTGGTAAGACGGAGAATCCAAGGCAATCTGAAGAACTTTCGCTAGTCCGTGATCTTCCACAATGTTGAGGGGCCGGCTAGAAGAAACAAGCCAAGATGTAAGGGCTTGTGCAATAGTTTCTTCTTTCTTCAGAGAAACCGGCCTCGAAGAGAAAACGTCGATAGTCGTCTGCTTTTTTGCAGATGATTCTTGTTGCAGCGAGATGCTTGGGTGCTTAGCTCTGAGATGGTATTGAAGCGAGCTTACACTTCCGCTATATGCGAAAGCTTTTTTGAAGATGAGGCAGTGAACTTTCTTTAAGTCAAAAACTTCGCCCGCGCGGTTTACTTTAAACCCGAATTTCCCTGAAAGGTTGCCCTTCATACTCCTGTATTCGTCCATGCCTGCGCAGGGTGTTGTGATGAGATACTTCTCAAACAAGTGACTGCGGCGCGACATGAAGGGAAGAGGAAAGACGGGGGCAAGGGAGACGAGGATAATTGGGGAGCGTCGATCCGTCGAGGACGTCCCTGAAGGTGTTATAGGAGTAGTACATGAAGGACAAAAACAGGATGAAACATCTTCGTCGTTCATGTAACTTTACCCGCACGCTCTAATTCCACGACGTCGTTGAAGCTTTCAACAAACAGAAAATCCCCGGCGAAGGAAAGGCCCCTTTTTACGGGGAAAAGGGAAACGAGCCCATCAGGCTGCGCGCGGCGCCAACTCGTCAAAGACGACGAGAGAACGGGGGAACATCTGGAAGCACTTTGCCACGGGCAGTGCAGGTCCGCCAAGGTCGTTGCGTCAAGAGGCAAAAGCGACACCGAGAGAGAAATTCCAACCACACAAATAAAACACAGGGTCGAATACTGAAGCAAGCCACGACCACGGCCGGCTTTGCACCACGCTGAACGAGCGGAGAGACGAGCGAGGTCACGTTGTAGCGACCGCAAGGACGGAGCATAACCCACAATGGGGATCAAGGCAGCCTTCGGAAGAGCTCTAGCTTTGTCCCTGCAAACCCGTAAGCCAACATGCTTGCGTGCCTTCAAAAAAAAAAAAAAAAAAAAGCTGCTGCGTGTGCTCACCAAAAAAAAAAGCGCGTAGCTATTGGGCAGGAGATCGACCTATAGGGGGCGCTCTGACCCGTTTGTTTTCCCCACGCTCGGTGTTTACTCAACACAAGGCCTGTGCACATGCCGACAGGCCTTATGGGCATGGCCATGCCATCTTCTACAATAGAGCGCGGGGCACAGCTTAATGTAAAAAATACTAACAATCGACGAAGCGACGTTAAGTCATGTCGTATTACACCTGAGACTGCGGTGGAAGAAATGGGAAGAACTTTCAGTAGAAGGAACAGACACAGAGAACGTCTCAAACTCAGCTAACTTGTTTATTTCTCAAACAGCCTTTAAGTACCCACGGAACTTTTTCCCAACCACACTCTACAGATAAACTCCTTTGTTGCAGACATTTCAAACCGGATGGATACAAAAGATACAAAACAAACCGCACATGAGACGAGGACTTAACAATGGGACGCTGCGGATCATCGCAGTGACCTTGACAGTGTGATCTCTGTCAAGGTCACTGCGATGATTCCCACTTCGGCTTTTGTGCTGAGCTGGGATCGTGCATGCTGCATTGTTCATGCAGGCCATAGTGGAAACAAAAGACCCCCTCCTCCCCCTCGCCGGAGAACGCGAACTCCAGCCGAACGCTGACGCCGCGTTCGGTTATGTCGGCCGAGCGCGGCGTCATTGTATTTGTTGTCCCCATCCGTGTAGTTGTTAAGTTAACCGCTTGGGGCGTCAGCGAGGTCACCGGACTTCCGTAAAGCCTGCTTTCATTCTGCTTCTGTTTTTGCTTTTTTCTTCCAATCCCGCGTGACTCACGACGAATGATTTGTTTGTTGGGTGTTACCTACGAGGTGAACAAGGAGCAAGTTTGTATGTTCGTTTTAGAGGGAACGGCAGCAGGAGAAAGGAAAAAAAACGTATATTTATTTACTTTTGTTCGCCTCATTTTAACCGATTAACTGGTTAAAAAAATTGATCGCGATTAAAGCATTAATCGATCAATCGGAAGGTTAATCGATCAATTGCCCAGCCCTACAAAAAATTGATTCATATTTAAGTAAGCATCGGTTTCTACTCTATAAATACGTTAATGTAGTGTTCCATTACAGTTTTTATATCTGCAGTGCGAAAAAAAAACAAGAAAGACCTCCCCCCGAAACAATATCCTGGCTATGTGCCTACGCTTTTGTTTCTGTTTTGTTCCCGAGCGCGAGCACGAGTTGTTGAGTCATTCGGAAAAAAATCTACAAAAGTACGAAGTCGTCCGTAATAAACACATTAATTTAAAAAAAAATAAAGTGTACTCGTCGATCGCGTTGGGTAGAGGAAAAACAAACGCCGAGCGCGTCTAGCGCCCGCGTTCAGACACCAAACATAGCTTAGAGCGGGCAGAAGCGGAAGCAAGGCAGGCCACCAAAAACGTTTCTCCTGCTTGCCGATAAATTGCGCCCAACATTTGCCGAAAAGGCCCATTGCTGCATTGAAACTCGAGCCGTAAGTGACGTGCATAATTGCGTTCTGATCTGAGGTTAGTAGGTCATTTTTAAATCTGCCTCACCGATACACCACGTCAGCGGCGGCGGTTGCGGTGCAAGACGCTGGTATCAAATCGAATAGCGCTGCATCATTCGTAGCTTTCACAGCGCAAGACAAAAAAACCAGGAGAACCGTTTCTGTTAACATGCAGCATGTTGAAGCTGCGAATGACACTGCGTTATTTGGTATACCAGATGCGATGCATGTCTCGTTCGAGTCGCAGCGCTATTCGATTCGGTCCGCACACCCCTACAATGATCTGCTAAAAATTGAGAGCCAATCAGCAAATGGAGCATGCACGAAATACGAAACTTACCCATTGATTGGCGCAACAGGTCACGTGGCCCTTTTCGGCGTCACTCCGCCATCTCGCGAACACGTTGCGGGGACAGCACTTCAACTGACGAAGTTTCCAGGAACAGTTGGCATCTCGCACGTCCGCACAAACTCCGAAATGGCGTCGCGGAGCGTCCGCAAACAAGTCGTGACGACCACGACGACGACGTCGTCGTCCCAGTACGTTTCGCAGCATTACCGCGCGGACAGCCCGGCGAACCCGGTGTCGCCTCGGACATCTCGCTCGTCGGACACCAACGCCGGCGGGAGCCGGGAACGCTCGCGCTCGCCGCTCTCGGCGTTTAGGGTTTCGAGAATTCGGGAGAAGAACGAGCTGGCTCACCTCAACGACCGGCTGGCTGCGTACATCGACCGCGTTCGTCACCTAGAGTCTGAAAACAGCAAGCTGACCGAACAGATGACGAGCCAGGAGACCCGCACCCGGGAAGTCGCCAGCGTTAAAGTCATGTACGAGCGTGAGCTTGCCGACGCACGCCGCACCGTCAACCTGACCGCAAACGAGAAGGCCAAACTGCAGCTCGACGCCAAGAAGTGGCAGACAGAGGCCGAGACCCTGCGAACGAAGTAAGTAGCCAGCCCATATTTCTTTTTCTTGAGGCTATTTCTAAACCACGCGACTTCGGCGAGCGGCTGTGGCTCGCGGTCTTTCGTTGTCTGGCTTCTAGGCGTCCGTCGCTCGAGCTGTCTTTTCGAAGCGGGGCGGTTTGTGTGACCGCGAAATCTTTAACCGGCTTCGTGAGGTTTGGAGGCAGAGTCATGACAAGCTAGCTAGTTAAAGCTAGACATGATAGATCTTTAAAGCAACTAGAAAAAAAAAAAGAGCGGGGCATAAACGATTTGTCACAAATTGTCGTGTTCTCCCCCCGCCCCCCTCCCCCTTTTCTTTTTTTTTTTTTTTGTTCATCGCGGGTTTTGTGTAATTGCTTCTTCGAAGCCGCTTTTGAGCCGAGTACAAAAGCTGTGATGACCTGACAGCTTTTACCTTGGAAAGAATCCGTTGTAGCCCACACACCTGGGGTAGTGTCAGTTACAAACGGAATGAATGGAAGCGTAACAGCTCCACTTAAAAGTGCAGGTTCCATTGATGATTCAGTCGGCCGGCTGTTGAATGACGGTTTTGCCGGCCTTGACTGATAGGTGGCGGTGGTTCGACCGGTTATGGCGTCAGTGTCATTTCCGCCACGCCTCTTTTCAGCGTAGCACGTTCCGTTTTCTTTTCTTGTGTGTTTGTCTACGTTTCGCAATGCGCGCAAGAAACATAATAGTGGTAGCTCTAGGTTTCTTTCTACATTTTCATTTATTTCCATCCTTACGTAGCAGCCACGCTTGCGAAATGGCTAGACTGGCTAGCAGTTTTGAGATGAACTTCTCCGGAGCAATGTCCGTGTGAAGTGGGTGGAATTCCTACTTGTCGGAAAACTGAAATAGTACATGACACATTGCATACTGCATACAGAAGAGTA